GTCCACAAGTCATAAAAGAGCCAAGGTTGCCTGCCCCTGCTCTAGAAGGACCACTCATAAAGGAGATTACAGAATGACAAGAGATGGAAGGGACCTTGGAGGTCATCTAGCCCAACCCCCTGCTCAGGCAGGAAATCCTATGCCATTTCTGACAAATGTCTGTCCAATCTCTTCTTGAAAACCTCCAATGATGAAGCGTGCATAACTTCTGGTGGCAAGTTGTTCCACTGGTTAATTGTTCTCACGGTCAGGAAGTTTCTCCTTAGTTCTAGGTTGCTTCTTTCCTTGGTGAGCTTCCATCCGTTGCTTCTTGTCCTGCCTTCAGGCGCTTTGGAGAATAGCTTGACTCCCTCTTCTTTGGGGCAGCCCCTGAGATATTGGAAGGTTGTTATCATGTCCCCCCTCGTCCTTCTCTTCATTTTATGATTGGCTTTTCCTCCGCCCATTTGACTTTGCTTGAGGGAAGCAGGCTGGTGATCACATGACCTTGGGACACAACGGCGGTCATAAATCCGAGTCAGTTGATCACGTGACCCTTGGGGATGGCGCAACGGTCTCAAGAGTGGGGGGAAATGGTGAAAAGTCACCTTTTTCAGTGCCGTTATACCTTTGACCGGTCACTAAGTGAATCTTTACACCATTCATAAGGATGAGGCCAAAGGCACGGAGTCTGCCTCCTGCCAGCGATTTTAAGGGCAAATTGCCCAACTGCAGCCTGGGATACGTTGACAGGTGTGATGAATCGATCCCAGCTCACTGCAATACTCTGCCCTGTCTGTATTCCAGCCATAAATCCATTCACGGCCCCGTTGCAATATGGATGGGACCCGAGCAGATGGAGACAGGAAGACAAAGGTGGGCTGCAGAGGGAGGAAGGGGCATGTTCGGGCAGCGCCATTGCTTGGACACCCCGTCTTGATGGCTCCCCCAGGCCCTGCCAGCAGACAGCTTCAAAAGAGGGAGACCCCTCCCTTTAGCTGGCAGGCAGAAGGCAGCATCAGTGAGAGGGAGGGGCAGGAGGGAGGGAGGGAAGGAAGAAGGGAAGGAAGGAAGGAGAGGGCAATGGAAAGGAGGGAGGGAGGGAAGAGAGAAGGAAGGAAGGAAGGAAGGAAGGAGAAGACAATGGAAAGGAGGGAGGGAGGGAAAAGGGAAGGAAGGAAGGAAGCAAGGAAGGAAAGGAAGGAAGGAAGGAAGGAAAGGAAGGAAGGAAGGAAGGAAGGAAGGAAGGAAGGAAGGAAGGAGAAGGCCATGGAAAGGAGGGAGGGAGGGAAAAGGGAAGGAAGGAAGGAAGCAAGGAAGGAAAGGAAGGAAGGAAGGAAAGGAAGGAAGGAAAGGAAGGAAGGAAGGAAGGAAGGAAGGAAGGAAGGAAAGGAAGGAAGGAAGGAAGGAAGGAAGGAAGGAAGGAAGGAGAAGGCCATGGAAAGGAGGGAGGGAGGGAAAAGGGAAGGAAGGAAGGAAGCAAGGAAGGAAGGAAGAGAGAAGGAGGGAAGGGAAGGGAAGGAAGGAAGGAAGGAAGGAAGGAAGGAAGGAGAAGACAATGGAAAGGAGGGAGGGAGGGAAAAGGGAAGGAAGGAAGGAAGCAAGGAAGGAAAGGAAGGAAGGAAGGAAGGAAGGAAGGAAGGAAGGAAGGAAGGAGAAGGCCATGGAAAGGAGGGAGGGAGGGAAAAGGGAAGGAAGGAAGGAAGCAAGGAAGGAAAGGAAGGAAGGAAGGAAAGGAAGGAAGGAAAGGAAGGAAGGAAGGAAGGAAGGAAGGAAGGAAGGAAAGGAAGGAAGGAAGGAAGGAAGGAAGGAAGGAAGGAAGGAGAAGGCCATGGAAAGGAGGGAGGGAGGGAAAAGGGAAGGAAGGAAGGAAGCAAGGAAGGAAAGGAAGGAAGGAAGGAAAGGAAGGAAGGAAAGGAAGGAAGGAAGGAAGGAAGGAAGGAAGGAAGGAAGGAAGGAGAAGGCCATGGAAAGGAGGGAGGGAAAAGTGAAGGAAGGAAGGAAGGAAGGAAGGAAGGAAGGAAGGAAGGAAGAGAGAAGGAAGAAAGGGAAGGAAGGAAGGAAGGAAGGAAGGAAGGAAGGAAGAAGGAGGAAGGGAAGGAAGGAGAGAGAAGGAGGAAGGAAGGGAAGGAAGGAGGGAGGAAGGAAGGAAGGAAGGAGGAAGAAAAAGGAGGAGGGAGGGAAGGAAGGAAGGAAGGAAGGAAGGAAGGAGGGAGGAGGAAGAAAGGAAAGGGAAGGAAGGAAGGAAGGAAGAAGGAAGGAAGGAGAGGAGAAGGGAAAGGAAGGGAGGGAGGGAAAAGGAAGGAAGGAAGGAAGGAAGGAAGAAGGAAGGGAAGGAAGGAAGGAAGGAAGGAAGGAAAAGGAGGGAGGAGGAGGAAGGAAGGAAGGGAAGGAAGGAAGGAAGGAAGGAAGGAAGGGAAGGAAGGAAGGGAAGGAAGGAAGGAAGGAAGGAAAGGGAGGAGGGAGGGAGGGAAAGGGAAGGAAGGAAGGAAAGAAGGAGAAGGGAAGGAAGGAAGGAAAGGAAGGAAGGAGGAAGGAAGGAAGGAAGGAAGGAAAAAAAGAAAGGAGAAAGGAAGGGAGGGAGGAAAGGAAGAAGGAAGGAAGGGAGAGAAGGAGAGGAAGGAAGGAAGGGAAGAAGAAGGAAGGAAGGAGGAAGGAAGGAAGGAAGGAAGGAAGGAAGGAGAAGAAGGAAGGAAGGAAGAAGGAAGGAAGGAAGGAAGAAGGAAGGAAGGAAGGAGGGAGGAGGAAAGGGAGGAGGGAGAAGGGAAGGAAGGAAGGAAGAAGGAAGGAAGGAAGAGAGGAAAGGAGGGAAGGGAAGGGAAGGAAGGAAGGAAGGAAGGAAGGAAGGAAGGAGAAGACAGGAAAGGAGGGAGGAAAGAGGAAAAGGGAAGGAAGGAGGGAAGAAGGAAGGAAAAGGAAGGAAGGAAGGAAGGAAGGAAGGAAGGAAGGAAGGAAGAGAAGGAATGGAAAGGAGGGAGGGAGGGAAGAAGGAAGGAAGGAAGGAAAGGAAGGAAAGGAAGGAAGGAAGGAAGGAAGGAAAAAGGAGGGAGGGAAGGAAGGAAGGGGAAGGAGAAGGAAAGGAAGGAAGGAAGGAAGAAAAGAAGGAAGGAAGGAGGGAAGAAGGAAAGGAAGAAAGGGAAGGAAAAGGAAGAGAAGGAAGAAGGAAGGAAGGAAGGAAGGAAGGAAGGAAGGAAGGAAGGAGGAGAAGGGAAGGAGGGAGGAGGGAGGGAAGGAGGAAGGAGAAGGAAAGGAAGGAAGGAAGGAAAGGAAGGAAGGAAGGAGGAGAAGGAGGAAGGAAGGAAGAAGGAGGAAGGAAGGAAGGGAGGAAAGGAGGGAGGGAAAAGAAGAAGGAAGGAAGGAAGGAAGGAAGGAAGGAAGAAGGAAGGAAGAGAGAAGGAAGAAAGGAAGGAAGGAAGGAAGGAAGGAAGGAAGGAAGGGAAGGAAGGAGGGAAGGAGGAAGGAAGGAAGGGAAGGAGAAGGCGGGAAAGGAAAGGAGGGAGGAACAAGGAGGAAGGAGGAAGGGAAGGAAGAAGGAAGGAAGGAAGGAAGGAAGGAGGAAGGGAAGGAAGGAGGAAGGAAGGAAGGAAGGAAGGAAGGAAGGAAGGAGGAAGGAAGGAAGAAGGAAGAAGGAGTGTATAGTGGGAAGGCACCAGGCTAAAAACCAGGAGGTGGTGGCTGTGAATTCTAGTTCGCTTTGGGGCACAAAAGCCAGCTGGGTGACTTTCGGGCCAATCCCCAGGAAAAGCCTGACTTCCAATGATGTTGTGCTGACTAGGGAGTCCCGTGCCTAGGGACTGAAAGCCCAAACATCTGGAAGACAGGGCCACCAAGTCTCCCTCTCTGAGGACCCCTGGAAGCCCAACTGCGTTGGACAGCAGATCGCTCCTGGACTTTACAACATTTGTTGTGACCACTAGTCGTTCACAACAACACTGAAAAAAGGGAATTATGACCTTTTCTCTCTCTTATGACCGCGGCAACCATCACCCCAGGTCACAGACCACCAATTCGGCGGCTGGCCAATGACATGTAGTACGACGGTGCCGTGTCCCAGGGGTCACGTGATCCCCTTTGCGGTGATCTTCCGGACAAGCAAAATCAATGGGGGCAGCCGGATTCACTTAACGATACAGTGTTAGATTCACGATGCGCAGGAAATACCACTTAGCAAACATGGGCAAGGTGTAAAAAGGGACAAAACCCACTCCAACAACTGTCTAGTGAGCAAGGGGCTCGGTTGCGGTTTGTATTCGAGGATCCTGCAGTGGATGATCAGAGAGACTTAGCTAAATTTCTTGGCCCGGCCTACCCGCAGGTAGTTGAACCTAAAGACTTGCCTGGTGCGGGCCTCCAGCTGTGTGTTTCTGCCAACACATCAGCCTAACAGAGGGAGGCGAGATCAAACAGGGCAAATCTGCAAAGCCACATTCCCAGAATGACCTTTCACCCGGAGGACTCGTTTAGACAAACGGAATAATAAACTTGGATCGAGAGATTCGGATGTCAACGGTTCCGTGGGACCTTGCAGGACAGCTGGACCCTGGACTATGTTTGCCTGTGGGGCTGCTCCAATCAAGACTTGTATTTGGCCAAGAAATAAGGAGCATTTGTCTACAAAAACCTTCCGTGCGAAAGCAAAATATTAAAACACGGGCCAGGATGATGGAGGAACGGGACGTTGGACACGAATTCGACCTAAGCTTCAGTCTCGGGCAGTGCTCTTAGATGTGTCGGATGCTAGCTCCCTTCAATGCATTCCCTGCATCTGCTGCTGGGGCTGATGAATAGTACTTGTTGGGAAACTTGTTGGGGTGAGTAGGGGTTTAAATGAGGAAAACTAGCTCGCATCGTTGTGCAGCTGCCAAAAGACCCGGGTCACCTTCCCGGGAAACTCTCTGTACCTGTAAAACTGGGCTCAACGAGAAGACATTTCTTCCGCTATGAAAAGTAGCCACCCCCCACCAAAGGGGTCCAAAATTCAGAAACACGCCATCCAGGCCCACACCTGGACCACTCCTTACCTGTCCTGCGTCCCGTAGGAGCCCACTTTCCATTCTGTCATGCAGAAGAAATCAGAGAACTCTGCAGGTAAACCAGCTCGCTCTCCTTAAACGGACGGATGTCAAGCTCTTGGCACCAGATGCTGCGCGTGCCCAGGGGCCGGTGGACCACGCCTGGTGGGCCGAAAGTATCTGGTTTTTTAAGTCCAGGGCGATGTCTTTCAGCGCTTGACGGCCCGTCCAACAAAGTCTGATGGAGCAGGAACCAGATACTCCGTGACACTTGCATTTCATCCTACAAGGGAGGCTTTTAGGGATGTGGGAAAAAAACGCACAACAAGAAGTTGAAGGAACTGTCCTTCTTTCGACAACCATCCAACCTGCTTGGGGACACGTCTAAGAACCCTGAACTGTGCATAAATTTTTTCGGTCCTCGGGGTGGGAGATCATAGAATGATAGGGCTGGAAAGACATTGGAGGTGTTCGAGTCCAGAGGGTCTGCAACCTATGGGCCGTGGCCCACTTATTGGCCCGTGGCCTCTTTGACAGCCGGATTGGTGGCCGGTGACGCCCAAATGCACTCCCCCCACTCGCATTAGCAACCACAGCCTGTTTGCACATGCATGCGCAGTCAATCAGCGACCGCTAGCAAGGGGTGTGTGGACATGGCCGTTTGCACATGCGCGAACAGGGCAGATGCGCACCAGGGGTGTGCGTGGCCCATTTGCGCAAAAATAAAAAATAAAAAATGAATAATGTACATAAAAAAATGTTTGGGTATGCGAACGGGGCGTAGCCATCTGTGGGGGAGGGTTGTCCCTGGACGTTCCGTGAATGTGCACGGCGTAGAGCATACCCGAGCGCGACCGGGGCCGCTAGTACCGGGCGGCAATGTTTGGCACGGGCAAGTGTAGCGCACGCCAATTTGAAAAGCTATGCTCTCGCTTCCCTCTGGGCCACAAGCCCAAAAATGTGAAGACCTCTGTTCTAGTAGTGCAACCCGCTGGTGTAAGACAGGACCTTAGTACCATTTCAGACATTTCAGTCCAGTCTTCTTAAAAACCTCCAGTGATGGGCACCTACAAATTCTGGAGGACAGTGTTCCAATGGTTAATTGTTCTCATGCGAAGAAATTCTCCTTATTCTAGCGTTGACTTATCTCCTTAAACACCTTCTACTCATTGCAGGTACTTCCTTGACTTACGAACCGTTTAAGAGACTATTGAAGTACAACGGCCGTGAAGAAAAGGGATTATGACCATTTTTCACATTAGGGGCCATTGGAGTGTTCCCCACAGTCATTCACTGTTATCAAATCTGTCTGTCCAAAGATTCAGTAGCGACGCATTGCTTCATTAATACTTATAGTGATTCTTGAACATATGGCAAAAAAAAAAAAAAAAGGTTGTAAAAGTCAGGCAGATTCACTAACAATTGCCTGGCTCAGGAAAAGCAAACCACACAAAACAATTTGTAAAGCATGGGCATAGGGACAGGTAGGCAAACTTGGCTCTTTTATATTTGTGGGGTGCAATACCCAGAATTCTGAAGGAGCCTGCTGGTCAGGAATTCTGGGAGTGAAAGTCCCCGAGTCATGAGTGCCAAGTTCCCCGAGAGTGCCTCAGGAATTTGGGAGTTGAAGTCCACAAGTCATGAAGGGGACATTAGTTCCCCCTGTGATGAGGAATTCTGGGATGAAGGGATCCAAGTATGAAGAGGACCTAGTTCCCTCCACGCTGGCTCAAGGAATTCTGAGAGTTGAATCCACAAGTCCATGGAAGCCTGGCGGCTGGCCATGGCCCGCGGGGCCACATAGTTCCCCTTGCTGGCGCAGGAATTCTGGGGTTGAAGGCCACAAGTCAAAGAGTAGCCAAGGTTGCCTACCCTGGCGTCGGAATAAAGCATGTGTTATTTTGTGGTGGAGCTACACAAATCTTTTACCCTTGATGAAACCCAGAATCTACTCTTTGATTTTACTGCTTCGGTTATTTGTCCTCTAGGCAACTTAATCTAAGTTTGTTTGTGCAGAATAAGCCTCTTGCACAGGGGTCCCCAACCTCAGGGCTGTGGCCCACTCCGGGCTGTGGCCTCTTCAGCTGCAGGAGTGGCTGGCTGGAGTGCACACGCAGCTCAACTTCTATGAGCAGCGGGCCTAGCGGGCACTAGTGCGCATACTCGCCATCCAGCTGCTTGCACAAGAGGTACGTGCGCACCAGCCAACCACTCTTGCAGCCGGCTTCCCCTCTCCCACCCCACCAGCTGGGCTGCCAAGCCACAAAGGTTGGAGACCGCTGCTCTTCCAGACTCAGGGTGAGCTTCCATTCTGCCATCCCTTGTTTATTTTTCATTTATTTACTCATGAGGTTTTTATCCCGCCTCTCTTATTTTTTTTTTATAAACAACTCAAGGGGGCGAATAATGCTCCCCCTTCACCTATTTTTCCCACCACAACAGCCCTGTGAGGTAGGTTGGGCTGAGAAAGAAGCGCTGCTCCAAAGTCCCTTGGCCGGCTTTCATGCCTAAGGGGGGGGGGACTAGAACTCCCAGTCGCCTGGTGCTCGGCCCAAATCCCCCCAGCTGGCTTTCATGCCTAAGGCGGGACTAGAACTCCCAGTCGCCTGGCACTCGGCCCAAATTCCCCCAGCTGGCTTTCATGCCTAAGGCGGGACTGGAACTCCCAGTCGCCTGGTGCTTGGCCCAAATCCCTCCAGCTGGCTTTCATGCCTAAGGCGGGACTAGAACTCCCAGTCGCCTGGTGCTTGGCCCAAATCCCTCCAGCTGGCTTTCATGCCTAAGGCGGGACTAGAACTCCCAGTCTCCTGGTGCTCGGCCCAAATCCCCCCAGCTGGCTTTCATGCCTAAGACAGGACTAGAACTCCCAGTCGCCTGGGGCTCAGCCCAAATCCCCCCAGCTGGCTTTCATGCCTAAGGCAGGACTAGAACTCCCAGTCACCTGGTGCTTGGCCCAAATCCCCCCAGCTGGCTTTCATGCCTAAGGCAGGACTAGAACTCCCAGTCGCCTGGCGCTCGGCCCAAATCCCCCCAGCTGGCTTTCATGCCTAAGGCAGGTCTAGAACTCCCAGTCTCCTGGCGGTCGGCCCAAATCCCCCCAGCTGGCTTTCATGGCTCTAAGGCAGGACTAGAACTCCCAGCACCTTAACCACTACCCAAAACTACTAATTTGTTACCCCCCCCCCAGTTGATGATTGCAATAATGAGAACGACCCTCTTGGATTGGTTACCTGTCTCCCTACTTCACTGTTGTGCAGATGCATCAGCTTATTGGCTTGTGATCCTGATTTTTTCATCTTCATGGGAGCATCTGAAAATTTGGACCCCATGACAAGACCATAGTTGAGGTTGTCAGCACATCCTCCCCAGCGATACCCAGGTCCAGGTGTCTCACCTGGGATGGGACCACAGGAGCAGCCGGAGAGCTCCCCGCTGGTGCAGGCTCGGGCGATGGTGTGGCTGATGGCTGCAGCGGAGAGAGCGTACACAAAAGCTGACTCCCTGGTACCTGCAAAAAGAGACCGACAATGTCACACAACGGTCTGCAGGCCAGGGCTTTTCAACCTTTTCATCCATTGTGCCACTTTTAAGAGGTGGCAACATCCAAGGACCACCGGTCGCCTAGCAAGGTGTCAAAAACTTGATGACCAAAAAAAAAAGGAAAAAAGTGATAAAGTACAGGTAGTCCTCGATTTACAACAGTTTGCTTAGTGACTGTTCGAAGTTACAATGGCCCTGAAAAAAGTGCCCCCCAAGCCACAGCCGAGCAAGACACCTGCCTGCCCGCCTGGCCGCGCTCTTCCTCCTGTCCGAGGTTTTCGTTGTTGTGAGCATTTCTGTTGAGGATTGGCAGCAGGGGTGGGGTGGGGGGGGTGTTTGGTTTTTATTCCCCCCGTCTGCTGGGTGGTTGCAGCAGGTTTTGGTCACTTCACATGACCCTGGGACACTGTGACCGTCATAAATATGAATCAATTGCCAAGCATCTGATTGTAAATCACAAGACCCTTGAGATGCTGCAACATTCCAGCTGATTGGTGCTTCTTCAGGGCTCAGCAGAAGCGCCAGGATCAGCGCCGAGCTCCAGCTGGATCCTGGCGCTGATCCTGGCACTTTGGCTGAGTCCTGACAGCCCTGCAGCTCCAGCCATCTCTTGCTCAGGCTTGTGCGGTGCTACCACTGGTTGAGCTCATTCTCCTCACCCGCTACCACTTTTCTAGGATGGTCGCGTACCACCTGCCAGGTGCCAATGTACCACAGGTGGTACCCGTACCACTGGTTGAAAAGCCCTGCTGAAGGCCAGCGGGCCCTGACCCTTCCCACATGGTAACCAGGCCTGGCCCACACTGAGCAGAGGAGGGGCAGGCGAGTGGCAGGTGCATGTGTGCGTGCGCGCACAACTCCATTTGTGTGAGCAGCGTGCATGGGTGCCCTCCACTTGCACGGATGGAGCTTTGCATGCGTGCGGAGGGTGCTGGCACTCGCGCGTCCTCAACGTCTAGAAAACGTGGGGAAGACATCCGCCCCTTCTTTCCGCTCACCTCTCTCCAAATCCAGGAAGTAATTTGGAGCGCGCTCAATGGACGAGCAATTCCACCGCATGTCGGAAAAAGCCTGGCGGCACGTCTTGATCACCACCCGGGCAGCCTGGATAATCGTCTGCATCAGCTCCAGGTTGCTGCGGCAGAGTTGCACTTGAGAAACGACCAGCCCTTCCAGCTGCTTGCAGTGCTGGGTCTGGTTCAAGGCCAAAGCCGAAGGAGTCTTGAACAAAGCTCTGAAAAGGAAAGGAGACCACCCGGTGAGCCGTCGGCAAGGACAGCCGTGACTGGAAGAAAAACGCGGCGGGGACAGAGTAGGAACCGGAGGAGAGTAACTTGACACTTGGAAGAAAGGTGCAAGATTCTGTTCATGTAACCTTATAATAAAGCCAGGGCTAGCAGCACGGAGCATGCTTCTTTTCCTGGACTACCTTGCAAGGCTGACATCAATCTTGCCATGGTCAAAGTCCATTTCTCCCCATCTCTTTTACAGCCTAAGAAACTAGGAAGGGTCCTTCCTAAGATGTTTGCCACACCCATGAATGCCAGCTGGGTGACTTTGGGCCAATCACCAGGTGACGATGAGTTCTAGTCCCGCCTTAGCCATCAAAGCCAGCCGGATGACTTTGGGCCAATCACCAGGAGACAGTGAGTTCTAGTCCTGCCTTAGCCATGAAAGCCAGCTGGGTGCCTGTGAGTCGATCACTAGGAGACAGTGAGTTCTAGTCCCACCTTAGCCATGAAAGCCAGCTGGGTGCCTTTGGGTCAATCACCAGGAGACGGTGAGTTCTAGTCCTGCCTTGCTCTTGAACGCTAACTGGGTGATTTTGGGCCAGTTTCTCTCTCTCTCAGCTGAATCTACCTCACAGAGTTGTTGTTGTGGTGGGAAAAATAGGAGGAAGGTGTATTAAGTATAATGACCACTTTGTTAGGCAAGATAAAAACCCAATCTAATAATCTAACTTCTGACTAATCAATCTAATCAACATGTTTTCCTTGGATACGTTTGTAAGTTACTTTGCAAACTTCCGTTCCTTCCCCCAGGTCTTTTTTTTAAGCTTAAAATATCATGATAGATAGATAGATAGATAGATAGATAGATAGATAGATAGATAGATAGATAGATAGATAGATAGATAGATAGATAGAGATGGATGGATGATAGCTGAAAGATAGAAGGATGGACACAGACAGATAGATATAGATATAGTGCTTTTTTTGTAAAAAAAAAACAGGTGCCAGAAATAATAATAATAATAATAATAATAATAATAATAATAATAATAATAATAATAATAATCCATGCCACATTCAGGTTGGTCTTCCTTCTCTTGCAGTTTTCCAAGATCATTTTGTCTATTAGGAGTTGATCTTTTGTTCCTCTGCTATTGGGGCGGTTTCCTTTCTGCTCAGGTGGAAAGAGATTGTTTTCAACTAGATGCTGTTGTACTGCATCAGCTACCACACCAGTTAGTAATTTGAAAGTTGTTGGTAAGCAGGTAATTGGCCTGTAGTTACCTGGTGTTGCCCCTTTTGCTGGATTTTTCATTATTAGGTAGGTTTTCCCAGTTGTTAGCCACTTTTCAATTTCTCCTCCTTGTAGTATATTGTTGAACTGTTTGGCAATGAGTGGGTGTATAACAGTTAGATGTTTCAACCAAAACCCATGCAGTTCATCTTCACCTGGTGCTGACCAATTTTTGATTTTCTTTGCTCTTTTTTCTACCATTTTTGTTGTTATTACTAGTTCTTTCATTTCAACTTCTGTTTTATTTGCATCCACCTCTTTTAACCAAGCCGCATCCTTGTTGTATTTCTTTGGGTTATCCCATATCTGCTTCCAGAACTGCACTGTTTCTTCCTTGTCAGGTACTGACTGATTCCTTGCAGTTTCTCCATTGATGGATTGGTAGAAATGTTTCTGATTGGATTGAAATTGGAGGTTCTGCCTATAGTTTGCAATTCGAGCTTCATATCTACTGATTTTCCTGGCTATAGCTGTTATTTGTTGCTTTATTATTTCTAGTGCTTCCTTGATCTTCCTTGTTTCTAAGTGGTATTTCTTGATTAGGTATTCTTTGGTCTTCTTGTTCTTCAGCTTCTTTTCTTTCATCTGTTCTAGCTTGCTTGCATGTGATCTTAACTTGCTGATCTTATTTTCTAGTCTAACCTTCCATTTTTCTGGTGCACTGTTTGTTTGTTTTTCTTTTTGTTGATTTTGCATCCCAGGTATTCTGTTATAACTGCAGCTGTGCTGTACATTAGTTGGTTTGTTTCTTGCAGTGAATTGGTGCTTATACTTGATATTGCAGTATTTGCATCTTTTAATGCTTGTGCTAGCTGTTTCTTTGGAACAAGCTTCAATGCAGGTAGCCTTATTCTGTTGTTTTTGTGCTGTTCTAGATGCTCAGTTATTCTTTGTTTCAATTCTTTTATTTCTTTAGTTAGAGGGTTTTGTTTTTCCTGAGGAAGAGTTGCCTGGTTTCCAAATGAGAACAGTTGTATATCTCTGCTGGATTCCTTCACTGCCAACTCCCCCTGGTTTGCCTCTACATTCTGAATTACTTCTGGTAAGGCTTTGATTTCTTTGCCCTGGGTAAACCTTTGCAGTTCGTCCAATTCTGTTTCTGTGAATATTTTATTTCGTGTTATAAATCGGCGTTGATCTGCTAGTCTCTGTTCTGTTATTTCTGATTCTGGATGTTGTTCTTTCCAGAATTGGTGCATTCGTTTTAGATATCCTCGTCTTGTTGGACTTGATCTGTAGTAACAGATCATTATTTCTTTGTTTTCCATCACTGTACTGCAATATCGAGTATAAGCACCAATTCACTGCAAGAAACAAACCAACTAATGTACAGCACAACTGCAGTTATAACAGAATACCTGGGATGCAAAATCAACAAAAAAGAAAAACAAACAAACAGTGCACCAGAAAAACGGAAGGTTAGATTAGAAAATAAGATCAGCAAGTTAAGATCACATGCAAGCAAGCTAGAACAGATGAAAGAAAAGAAGCTGAAGAACAAGAAGACCAAAGAATACCTAATCAAGAAATACCACTTAGAAACAAGGAAGATCAAGGAAGCACTAGAAATAATAAAGCAACAAATAACAGCTATAGCCAGGAAAATCAGTAGATATGAAGCTCGAATTGCAAACTATAGGCAGAACCTCCAATTTCAATCCAATCAGAAACGTTTCTACCAATCCATCAATGGAGAAACTGCAAGGAATCAGTCAGTACCTGACAAGGAAGAAACAGTGCAGTTCTGGAAGCAGATATGGGATAACCCAAAGAAATACAACAAGGATGCGGCTTGGTTAAAAGAGGTGGATGCAAATAAAACAGAAGTTGAAATGAAAGAACTAGTAATAACAACAAAAATGGTAGAAAAAAGAGCAAAGAAAATCAAAAATTGGTCAGCACCAGGTGAAGATGAACTGCATGGGTTTTGGTTGAAACATCTAACTGTTATACACCCACTCATTGCCAAACAGTTCAACAATATACTACAAGGAGGAGAAATTAAAAAGTGGCTAACAACTGGGAAAACCTACCTAATAATCAAAAATCCAGCAAAAGGGGCAACACCAGGTAACTACAGGCCAATTCTGCTTACCAACAACTTTCAAATTACTAACTGGTGTAGTAGCTGATGCAGTGCAACAGCATCTAGTTGAAAACAATCTCTTTCCACCTGAGCAGAAAGGAAACCGCCCCAATAGCAGAGGAACAAAAGATCAACTCCTAATAGACAAAATGATCTTGGAAAACTGCAAGAGAAGGAAGACCAACCTGAATGTGGCATGGATTGACTACAAAAAGGCATTTGACTCTCTGCCACATGATTGGATAATAAAGTGCCTAGAAATAACAGGAGTCAGTAGAAACATCAGAAAATTTGTGCAAAGATCGATGGCACAATGGAAGACACAGTTGCAGATCAATGGTGAGAGGCTGGGAGAGGTTAATATCAAGAGAGGAATATTTCAAGGAGATTCATTATCACCATTACTATTTGTTATTGCACTGTTTCCTCTGTCAACAATACTGAATAACTCAGGACATGGCTATCAAACATCAAAAACATCTGCTAGACTATCCCACCTCCTTTACATGGATGATCTGAAGCTGTATGGAAAAACATCATCTGAAATAGAATCGCTGCTCAACACTGTCCGTATATATAGCCAAGATATTGTAATTGAGTTTGGCTTGGACAAATGTGCCACACTTACTATCAAACAAGGAAAAATAGTGAAAACTGAAGGAATCAAGATGCCCCACGAAAATAACATTAAGAGTCTGGATGAGGAAGAGTACTACAAATACTTGGGTATCCTTCAAGCTGACAACATCAAGCACACTGAAGTCAAGAAAAAGATTAGAGGTGAATACATCAAGAGAGTGAAGAAGATCTTAAAATCCAAACTCAATGGAGGAAATACCATAAAGGCAATCAACACCTGGGCAATCCCAGTCATTAGGTACACAGCTGGAATAGTGGACTGGACTCAAGCAGAACTAAAAGCAATGGATAGGCAGACCAGAAAAATAATGACAATGAATCATGCCCTTCATCCACGCAGTGACATTGATAGACTTTATCTACCAAGGCAAATAGGTGGGCGTGGAATGCTACAAGTACATCAGATGGTTGAAGAAGAAAAAATGGCTTTGGAAGAATATCTGAAGAACAATGATGAAGATGCACTGAAATTAGTATATCAGGAAGGCTTACTAACTACTGGAGAGACCAAACTGGCCTACAAGAAAGACCAAATGAAGAACAGAATAGAGGCATGGGAAGACAAAGCACTACATGGCCAATACATGAAAAAAATAGCTGGGAAAGCAGATAATAATAAAACCTGGCAATGGCTAAGAGCAGGAAAATTGAAGAAAGAGACCGAGGGCCTAATTCTGGCTGCACAAGACCAAGCCTTAAGGACAAATGCATACAAAGTCAAAATTGAGAAGACAGCAACAGACAGTAAGTGCCGCCTATGAAAAGAAGCTGAAGAAACAGTAGACCACTTGGTAAGCTGTTGCCAGAAGATTGCATAGACTGACTACAAGCAGCGGCATGACAAAGTAGCAACAATGGTGCATTGGAGGATCTGCAAAAAATATCATTTGCCTGCAAGCAAAAACTGGTGGGATCATAAAATAGAGAAAGTCATAGAAAATGATAAAATTAAACTGCTCTGGGACTTCAGAATTCAAACAGAC